GCTTCTGATATTTGGTGTCAAATGCCTCTTTTCTTCTCTACAAGGTCTCTTAAATATGCATCACCACCATTAATTTATTGCCCAAAACTAACTTAGATATTTTCTTGGCATCATGGGGAAGAATAAAGTGGGTGATCTAATAAGAAAAAGTTGATGAACTACAGGATTAATGGAACCAAGTCGTGTCATAATGGAAATTTTTAAAATAGAAAGAGGGTGGTACACAATATTTTTTTTCCGAAATTAAGTTTTAGGTTAAAGTCAGAAGGCAATACGTAAAAAATTTATGATTTTGTGACAAGGTGTATGGTACTTGTACCAACATGATTGTAAAGTGGATGGTTCAGTGGCATTTGTACCTCACCTATGTTACATGGGTATAGGTACAGATACCAGTACCGGTACGAGACATGGTAAATTTGCAAAATGTTGGGTATGGGGACACGGCTATATAAATATTTATATGCATATATTATATATTTAAATTAATAATTTATATGAGATCAATATTTTTTTTGTTCACTTGTTATGAGAATTAAGTTATTTACTTGTAACATTTTTATGTTCCTTTTATTTCTGGATTATAAATTGTAAAAACGATCGTTTTTCTTGGACTAGACACCCAAACAATCATTAAAATCATAGCTTGGAACGAGTTCCAAGACGTGGATGTCAAGTGTAGGATTTACGTCCAGGAAATGTTTGATAGGTGCTCTAAATTAAAACACGTATTGTTTAATTGAGTACATGCCCAAATAAATGTTTGCATATATGCAAGGAGTGTCCAATGAGTTTGGACATGGGTACGGGTACGTGTTGGGTATGGGTACGGCTTCAAGATAGATGTACCCAGGTAATATAGTACCTCACTTTGCTCACACCAGACCACCTATTGGTTGCCTCTGATACGTATTGATCTCGCCTGAAGCTTGTGGAGGAGGAGGATTGGAGTTATTTTATTTTCATTCCTTTTTCATGGTTGTAATTCCTTTAATTATTTATGGATAAGCATCCAGTACATTGATCAACCGCAGCGACAGCTGACACGATCAGTAGGGCTCCATTTCCATCACTTTAGGAAATCTGGTTACTGCATCTATGATATTATTTCTACCTCTAGATATCTGTTGGAGAATAGGAAGGGATCATGCATCCTGTGTGTTCAGGTTATCAAGTTTAGGCTTGTTATATAATCTTAATTTGATGGTTATCATCCATGGAATTAGAGAGCTTAATTTAATTTGACTGTAGGATCTGTACATCTCATGTTTATGCATTCAAACATGTTAACTCAGAACCATATCCTAGATTGTCTGAAATCAAATATAACCTATCTTCTGGGATTTTATGTGGCATCTAATTTAATTGCTTTAAAGATTTCTTGAGATCCTAATGTGAAAAAAATTTCAGATGTCTGGATATATTTACACCTGAAGAACAGAAGATCTTGGTGAAGTACCGGAAAGAAAATTTCAAGGAGAAAGAACTTGTTTATAGAGAAAGGAGGCTTATTGGGAAGTGCCCATTAACTCCAGAAGAGGTAAATAATTCTGTCACTGTTTTGCAGTTAATAAGTTTCGTTTTCAAGAGTAGGCCATAGATCAGATTTCTTAAAATTCGAATGAGGTGTGGTACACATGCCAATCCAAATGCCTGTAGCGTATCCAGTAAACTTATATAGTCCAATATGTTTTTAATTAGCCTTCTTGTTCTAAGGCAAACTCAGCATTATCCATAACTTCATTCTTCTGTGTACCTCACCCATCTGCACATTCTATCAGCATCATGTCAAACAATGCATGTGAACAATTGAGAGGGGTTTTGATGCTTTAAGTATCTAGCAGAATGTCCCCATTTTTTCTTTTATTATACAGAACCATTTATTTTGTAAATTATGTGAATTAGGAAATTTGAGAACACATGGTCTTTTACTCTAGGAATATGCATTAGATTGAGATGCATTGTGTGGAAATATCCATTATTGTAGTCTCTTGTGTAGTTTGGTAGATGAACGATGTGCAAGTCTTTCCTAGGAAGTGAGTGGGTGTGTGCGTGTGCGTGTGTCATGGTTTCAAATGCAGATGTTTTAAATGCATCTGTTCTAAACGCATCTGCAGTTTCTTATTTTGAGAGTTAAGCTCTCAAAAGGTTATTGTCATCCAAGACTTCAATCTGGGATTAGTTATGGTGCATGGCCCAGAAAGTTGGCAAAAATCATGAAAGAATTGACAATGTCTTGTGTTCGGTTATCATCAGTACAATGTCTGAGATAGAAACTAATAATAAAATGTAGAATTCCCTGAAAGTATATGATTCTTTTGATTGCACATTTGATATTTCATTCCCTCAGTCATTGTTTCACTATGACAGGGAAGATAGTAATGATATCTTCAATTCTGTAGACCGAAAATCGTGACCACATGCCAAATAAGACAGAATAAGTCAATAAACAATAAACTTCAGACGGTAGCCGGTAAGGGAAATCCTACAGAGGGCCCTATATATAAAATCATGTAGAGGGAAATCCTATAGTTTTGGTGATTGCATTGGTAAAATATTCTGATTGCACTGATGTTATATACTGATTGCACCTTTATGACAGACAGTTATACACTGAGTGCACCTATTTTCAATTTTTGACGGACAGTTTAACAATCTCCTTTCTCTGATTTTAATATAGGACCCTCTATAGAAAACTTTATCCAGTCGGAACTGTGCAGAACTAAGTACCGTGAAAAGTAAAATGTCGCACAGTACAGGGCTACTTTATGTAGTATGATGTACAAGGATTTCTAATACATTGAAGAACTTCATGATGTACTGCTACTGCTCACTGCTATAATCTCCTTAATTTTTTTCCCTTCATCAATGCAGGTGGGTCTCATCTTACGCTCCCTGGGATTCGACAACAGAACCAGAATCTATATTGCTGCGGGCGAACTCTTTGGCGGTGACCGTTTCATGAAGCCATTTCGCACCCTCTTTCCACACCTCGAGAATCACAACACCAAAAAAGCTCGAAGAGAGTGCCCAAGGACTCGTAGGTTCAGCAGTAGACTACATGGTATGCCTCTTATCAAGACATTCATGCCAACTTATGATGGGCCAAGCAATTTTGCCAATAATCTCATGGGCCACCGCCTCTACTATGGCTTTCGAACCATCATTCAGCCCAATAGAAAAGCATTGGCTCCGGTTTTTATGGACAGGGAGGAGGGCAAAGGAGCCAACTTTGAAGAGAGAGTTCGTAATGTTATGGCTCGGACAAAGTTTGGTGAGCCCCATAAGAGAGTTCGACCCGAGTCATTCTACACGAACTCATGGCCTGAATGCTTCTGCCAGGCTGCACCTAAAGATCCTAAAGATAAGTGCCCCCCTGATAACGTACTGGAAGTTCTCGAGAGTCAAATGGAGAGTGAAGGGAGTGGTGGCTTGGAGGAGGCGAATGTGAGTGATAGAACAGGAACTGTGGTGACTAAAGGTACTTGAAAGACGGTTGATATTAAAAACCAAGTTGAACATCAAACGGTTCCCTATTTTTTGGCCCGTCAGCTGTGAAGAGTGAAGAGATTATACATATTTTGCCAACTGAGATCTAGCAATTGTAACACTGTTTGCACAAGATCTAGTGGGGGGATGAATCGTGAGATCAGTAAAGGATTAATTTGTAACAGATCTTGGCACGTTCATTTTTTATTTTAATTTTTTTTTTTCCAGCAGATCACAGAAAGGATTAGGTCTGTGTGTTTCAAGGAAGGAAAAAAGAGGAGTATGCGCTTCAGAGTTGTATATTTCGAATTACTGAGTGATTTGTGTCGAATATTCAGTCAAATAGCTATAACAAGCTCACTGTTTTTTTTTTTTTTTTTTTTTCGTGGAACCGAATGATGATGATCTGTTCGGCATATTAATTACAGTTTTTCTGTTTGTGCAAGTCTTCTTAACAAGAAAACGTCCTCTGTCGACGAGGAAACAGTTATACCTTTCTTTTGACCTTTTTCCTCCTCGAGAACGAGGGTTGGAGGGTATCTTTTATGGGAGGTAGCATGCTCTGAGATTGGAGATGAGAAGCTTTATGAAATTTGATATGCAACTTGTTCTGGCCAATCATAATCAGATTATGCAAGTTTCATACCCCTCATCAAGTAAAAAGGATGAACGCTTACAGATTTAAAAGATCAGCACAATAATTTTATTCAGAATGCACCACCACCTTAAAAGTTGAAATACTCGGTCACACAAAATTTATCATAAATACCATTCTCCGACCAGTAATAAAACGTGCTTGCAAAATACAAGCGTTTATCGGCCACGACCTAAGAGAACATCTAAACCCACAGAATACATAATGTGAAAAGAAAAATGTTTAGATATCACATCTATTGATTTTTCTCTCTAAAACAATGTCGATATAAGCAATTCAAGAATAAATATGAACCATGAAGCTCAAAGGGCACAAAAAAAGCCAATGTGCTCTGCAATTGGGGCATATCTGAAATACACATTTCTATTGACAACAAAGTCTACATACAAACAGAAAGTCCTGAAAAACAAAATAAATTAAAAGTTTAACCAGTTAATGCACCCCGAAGCTTGTTTGCAACATGAAGGAGGTGGCTGATGTTTGTGGTCGGATATTTTTGCAACAGCTTGAGATTAGATGTGAAATCACCAGCCAGGAGTCGTCTTCGTACAAGTATCAACATTGCACAGCAGATTCGAAGTAGGGTTTCCTATAAAGGAGCATTATATCCTAACCACCGATCCAAACAAAGGAAAATGAAAGAAAAAAAGAAGTCCCTGATGGCAATTTTTTCATACCTGAGGACCTTCAGGGTCACTTAACAAAGTATCCCAAATGTGGAGGCAGTCTGTAAAATTGAACTCTTGCGTCAACAGCAGCGTAATCCATCTAAATGCATAAAACTGCGGATTGACCTGCAATATCAAATGAAATTAGAGCATAAGATTTTCCCCCCTCCCCACTTAAAAAGATGTTGATAACAGCAAGCGACTCTACAAAAGTTACACAGTCAAAATAAAAAAGGAATCAAGGCTAAACTAGGCATACATTGCGTGTATGAGGGAGACAACTTACTGATGGATAACTCGAATAAAAGGCAGTCATTTAGTTTTGCAAACAGGTGCCATGTGCAGAATAACATCCTTTCAGCTTCAAACTAAATGAGTTTGAATACAGAGATATCGACTGGAAGTCGGGAAGTTTGTACATTGGCAGATTTTAGGCATTTAGCCAATAGATTTGGTTAGCCTTTAAAATTCTTTGGATATGTCTAATTGATGGGTTTTGTTTTTTTTTGTTTTTTAGATGTTTTTCTTATTTTTAGGTAAGATGAGAACAGGCTAGAGTTTTGGTTCAGTTAGCTCTTAACAGTTAGTTGAGACTTAAGTTATTAAATATTATCTACTAACTAGGTGGTAGCGATTTGAGTCTGTTATGAATGAATTTGGTGCAATTAGAATGAGGATTCATATAATGTTGAGTGAGGTGTGATTCTTTCTCCTCTTTTACGCCTTGTATCCTAGGCAGGAATAGAGTCAAGAATGGAATGAAGCAAGGCACGTGATGGAATAAATGTGAGAATAGAATGCTCACTCACATTCTCATTCTCATTTTTCTTATATTGTTTAGAATCTTAAATTTATCTACTCTCTAAATATCTCCTTATTAAATATGAGCGCATATGATGTGCTGGTGCAGTCTGTGAAAGTATCAAAAGACTGTATTGAAGCATGCGTTTTACCCTGTTGATGGCAACTGGTGACACGGCTACAAGGTTACCATTGGATTCCCAACAAAAAAATAGAACAAATAAATCCAATTATGAAGTATATTTACGTAAAGCAAGATCAAGTACATATCCAACCTTCAATAAAGAAAGAAAGGAAGATGAGAAATGGTATAACCTAAATTCTAGCAAGCAATTATTTAAGTTCCTTTTATCTTTCCTTTTCTGAAAAAAAGAAAACATACCTAAAGAATCATAACAGAAGCTTTTCAATTTATTTTTAAACAAACTAACTTGAAGTAATTAACGAATATAAATTGTCTAAGGTCTTTTCTGTTCAGTAATCCCATGAAAGTTCAGCAACAACAACAGCTACTCCTTGAGATAGTTAAAAATTCATCATCTTGAAGCCAAAAAAAACTAACAATTGAAATAGTGGTGATCAAATACTTCTGAAATAATGAAGCACCAAAATACAAGTATATAATTCTTTTAAAAGAAAAAGTATAAGAAACTAGCAATTTAAATTATGTCAAACTTGCCTTTGTTGTAACCTCCAAATGACGCCACAGCTCTTCATCATGTCTCTTGAGAAGCTGTGATAGTTTAGTAATTGTAGAACGAATGCCAACTACACTATTGTCAAGTTGCTTGCAGAAATTATCCCTAAACCCACTCAACAACTCAACGAAACAAAAAAATGTGTCTGCTTCTGCGTTGGCCTATAGCAAAAGAAACAAGAAAATAGCAAGGATGTTGATCATATCTTTAAAACATAATATATACAGAGCCATCAACTATATAAGAAAACCATAGAGCATGATTTCTTTAAGAAGAGGTCAAGCCTAAACAAATAAATCAACTATTATAGCAATTAAATGTCGTGTACATGGAGATAATCATGAGCCTAAACAAATAAATCAACTATTATAGCAATTAAATGCCGTGTACATGGAGATAATCATGGGTCAACTTGGGCGGCAATCACTGAACATTGGCAGAGTCGACCTCACAAATAGTAAGGACATTCAAGCCTCTAGCTACTACACATCAATTAACCATGCAACACTAATATGTAAAATAAAAAATAAAAAAATCAAGGTAAAAAAAGTTATTTTTTTCTGATTCGAATGGTATGAAAATGATTCTTCAATAATGCATGGCAGAAGGGAAATACATATTGAAAGTTTTAGACCCAAATAAGTACATAGAATTGTTTGAAAACGGTGAAAGTTTCCAAAATGTACTCAGCAGATTTCCAAAAGGAAATTAAAGTATACAATACATCATCAAATTGAAAAAGGCGTTTAAATGTTTCGGAGTGTCATAGAAAGTGTGGGGTTCAACACCAGTACAGCTTCATGGTAAAAGTGTCAATACTACATGTAGATGTACCCATGTACTTTCATAAGGAATGAGTAGGACCTAGTTCATAGAGCAACTACTTCCTATGCAAAATGCCTTTTTCACTTGCAGACTGCATGTGACACGCAAACAAATCAAATCTTTATGTGAATTAGCCAGAGAAGCCTGCATATTAGACCTTGAAATCCAAACCCGTAATTTAAGTAAACAAAACACCCAGACCCAGACAATTATATGAATCAAGTACAGGTACAAAGAGGATTACTCCATACTCACAGCATTATTCTCATCTGGATCATTCCTGAACACGTAGAATAATGGTGCCAAAACTTCATTCATCCCTTGCACATATCTTATACCTGGATTTAGTTTAGCAAAGACAATGAGTATGTCTCTCAATGCCTCCTGAAACAATAGAAATAATTCAATGGATGCAGTTAGTTAACAATCCAACTAATATTCGCATGCTGCTAACCGGAAAGAAAAACAAACAAATCAAAAACAAAACAAAAAACAGAAAACAAAATGCTTGCCTGATTAGACTTGGCAAAGGAAGAATCCTCAGAAAAAAATTGCATGTCCGGATGAGTACGCTTCACATCTCGGTCAATTTGCTCTATAATTTCTGTATCCTGATATACTGATTAACATTGAGTATTCAAATGTTTCTTTACTTTCAGCATGATACCGTAAGTGCACGCAACAAACATGTATACACAAAACTTTAACGAAGTACCATAGGTACACAATGCAACAATATGAATGCATAATAGACAATATAACAATAGTCTACAAAGTAGCATATATTTACAGATATCACTATTTAAACACAACAATAAGTACCTGGAAGAATTGATTCCAGACACTCGTTGATCCAAGGCTCAGAGGGTGTTCCCCATGAGGAATCTCAGCTCTTGGAAGAAAGCCACTTCCTCCAGAGTTCAAATCTTCCTCTTTGAGACCCGCAGATTCTTCCATCCTTCTGGTGATCTCTGACTGACTAACAATAGAGGCTATCAGAAACATGCAAAATAGTGTATAAATATAAAACAAACACATATGTTAACACTATATATATCCATGACTAATTACATTACTACATGGATATCTTTCCCAACATCAAAAAATTGTTTCAAGCAATAGATATAGTATAGTTCTATACAAGAACATGAAAATTCACTATGAGTATTAACCTCAAACTCTGATACAACTGTCAGACTTACAGGATTTAGCAGAAGGTCATCCTTAAAAGACTTGTACTGGGACCGCTTCTTATCCAGTTCATGCTGCCATAGTGCGCGATCGTTTGGCAAATACCGTAAAAGAAGCTGCTCGCCACAAGAAAGAAAAAAAGAATAAGTAATCAACTTCAGAGAAATAAGAATAAAACAAAACTACATGAACTCTAGATGGGATGCTTAATAATGCACACCTTTGAAAATCTAAATAAGGTAACTTTTTTATGGAGAAGCAGTCTCATATTCTTGCTATTCATTTTCTACATGAGTGAACTCATAAGTTTTCTTGTCACCAAGTTTCTGGAAAGAATACAGCGAGTAAATTGTCAGGAATATCACCGTATAAGGAAGAATATGGACGCTGTTGTCGATGCCTGAAACCAAGTGTGGCAATCTAAAATGGAAAGGAAATTGTCTTCTTATTACTTGAGGCATCTTAAAATATTTTCTTAAGATAATTGGCCTTCGTCCAAATGCACTGAATCAAACAAGAGTTTGATTTTATTAGGAGCTGTGGTTAAAAGAGACACATAGGAGACGAGGTTGAAAGAAAAACATAGGAGCTGGCTCTTACCTGTCAAGCAGTTTGAAGTTTGAAGTCATAAGGACAGTTCAGTCAGCTTTTAACAATAACTAAACATCAAACTTGGTCCACACAACGAAATATTCCAGAAAAAGTACACACACACACACACATATAGGACTTCTCTTAAGAAGATATGTTTGTGGCATCTTCATCTTCATATAACCTATCTAAAAGCTGCAATTTACAAAAAAGTCTTGCTACTTTATCTTACTCTTCCTCTTGCTATCCGGTCTGTCTTCTACCTGCAATACTTTCATCCATGTTTTCTGTCTGCCCTGAAAAGTGTAGGTTCTATTCCTTTTTTCCTTCACCACAAAAAAAAAAAAATGCACGTGTAGCTCTTATCCTATTATATATCCTAGCTTTGAGGACAATCATTCTTATTATAAGGCTTTCCAAAAATCCATTCATATGTCTTAATACAGTTTTTGTGATATATCGGCTCTAAAAATCTCCTAAATCATCCTTTACATTACCAGCTTACATTTAGATACTTCATTCCACAAGCAAAACAAGAATATCAACATTAAATCTTAACTCTTAGGAGCACAAACATTCCGGTATCAGTGCGTTACAACCATCACATTTCCCTTTTACTTTGCTAAGTATCTTTTCTTGTTTATTTGCTTTGAAATCCCTTTTTATATCCACCATGGTCAGTAAATGCAAAGAGAGATGACTGAATTGCCAAACTTGAGAGGAGACTTCCGAACCTCCGATCAACCTTTAGAAATGAAAGACATAATAAGCTGAGCAGACAAAGATTGGACCAATGGGTAAAAACTTATGCCATTTGTCAACTATCTGATGCAAATATTAGTAGGCTAGGTGCGAGTTTAAGCCAATCAAATCGAGCATTAGCGTAGTTTGAGACTTTTTTAATAAATATTAACTTAAGACTTATTGGCTCTTTCGTCCTAATTGAGCACAATTGACTGAATTTATAGTAAAAGCTAGTGTGCTACTTACATGTGAAGGTCTTTGATCTTAATGAATTTAAGAACAATTTGGGTAGGATTCATTAACGTCCTTGTTAATTAAACGCAAAGTGTTCTGTTTGACTGCAGAAGTTATCTTGTTAAGAGTCTTAAAATAAAATGATAGGCGCAACAGGAGGCAACTTAGCTACATGTACATGAAATTCTGGTTGAAGACCAAATGATATCAATGTAGGAGCATCAACGGGTTAGGGTTTTCAGGTTTTAACACTTCCAACACCCGAATACAAAATTCTCAGGTGTTAACACTTCCAACCGCCAAATACACACCAGATTGTAGATAGTTCTGACTTTTGTCAGGTTTTACTGTATTCTCTTGCTTAGACAGATTATGTTTTAGGGTATATGTTGCATGCAATGTTGAAAATAGCGATAACGCATAGCATAATACTCACATCCGGTTAACGTAAAACGTAAAATAGCGTAACCCTTAACGTAGGTTAAATAATTTATTATTATTTAAATATTTTATAGATACATAATATTCAAAATCAAATAATATGAATAATCATCACAGTTCTCAAACATATCATCATATAAATACTATCACAAATCAATATATCATCACAATTTCGCATCAAAATCAACTACGTTATGCCTTAACAATCATTCCAAAAGTGTAGTTGTTAAAAAAGATATACATCAGACTAAGGTTTTAAATGTCGGATGTCGGGTTCATGTCGGACAGGCTAAAATCCATATCGGATAGCGGAAATCAGGGATATATCGGGGGACATGGACTAAATATCGGATTGCCATATATCGAGTGATGCGTATATGTATAATATTATGTCTTAAATGTAATCTAAGCATTCCTAAATTCAATATAAGCATACTTTATAAATTCTAGAGGTAGCGCTGGTGATGGGTGGATTCCGACGTCGCAGAGATGCAGTGCCGACGACGGGACGTCGCAGGGAGGCAGTGCCGAGGCTCTTCTTCTTTTTTTTATTCGTCTGCTCGAGGTCCTTCAGATGAGTCACCAACCACCCTCTTCCATTTATCCCGATGACGGGATACCTTGTCGCCCTCGGGTTCGATTGGGGTTTGGATTTTGAAGCATAACGGGAGATGGACGACGGGGATCCGAGATGGAGGTAGGGGAAGGGCGTCGCTGTTCACAAAAGGAGTGATTGATTCTCAAATCCGCTATAGCCCTAAATTTTCTCTTTTCTTTCTATCGGGTTCATAAGAAACCCTTAAACATGAGAACGGGTCAAACGAGTTTGGGTTTTTATCACTAAGCCCAAACCCGATAACAAAAAACAGATCTAAAAAAAGGATCATATCGGCCGATTTTTTAAGGCCAAAAAATAGGCCGATATACCCGATATGGTCCCGACATTTCCGATTTGGCCCTGAAAACCGACATACAACTTGAAAACGCCCATGTCGTGTTGCTCAAGCCCTCAAACTGACATGTCGACCATGTCGGCGGATATTTAAAACCTTGCATCAGATACTACCACAGTAAGTTCTAATAGGTAATAGAACATCATAAATGTAAAAACATCTAATATTAATCCAAGTGAAGTTACAACTTTTATTTTTGAAAGAGAAGTACAATTTTTATTACTTCTAAATCTGATTAATTAGAAAAAAAAAGTAGTTAGTAATTCTTTGGTCTCTTTTTAATGTTTTCAGTGCAAAATCTGATTAATTTGAGGAAAAAAACTCAATCACAGCCATTAAAATTCTTTTAAAAATTAATCCCAACCCTTGAATAATTTAACCTAAGCTATAGAGTGCTATGAAAACGCTTTACAAAGCATACACTATGGGTAAAATAGCATACATTATTTTATTTCTGCACTATTTTCCAGCGCTACGTAGCGATTGTGTGGCTCTACGTTACGCTATGCGCTATTTTGCGCTACAGAACGCGTTATTTTCTACACTGGTTGCATGAATACTGATACAGGTCCCAGTACGGATGCAGATACAGGACACATCAAATTTATAAAAGGTAAAGGGGACATGACTATATTACATATATTTTAATAATTTGCAAAAGATCAATAATATTTTTCTTTTATTATGTAGATTTTAAATTGGAAAGCCACTTGCTTTTAAACTAGATACCCAAACGAAGTTTAAATCATAGCTCTGAACTAGGTATGGACTAAAACGGATCCGACCCTCTCCAATGAGTTTCAGAAAGCGGATGTTAAGTCTAGGATAAACATCCAAGAAGTACATGATCAGTGCTTTAAATTAATGCATGCATTATATAACTGATGCACGTCAGAATAACTATATGCGTATATTCAATTACTACCCAATGTGTGTTAGTGTCTAGTATGACTACAACTCATGATAGAAATGTCCAAGGGAGTGTTTGATACGTGTCGTTGTTTGGTATGTCAGGCACGGGTACGGCTTCATTATAGAAATATCCAGGTATATAGTTTAGGGTTAATAGTTACCTGCTTTGATCTAGAGTAACCAAACTTTATAGTTCAAAGCAACCAATTTATAAATATGTGCTTATCAAAAAAAATAGTGGCATATCTGCCATGCTTTATGTCCGGGTACCTTAGTGATGATCTAGTTAGTACGCTTGATAGTCTACCATTTGTCAACTAAGTAGATACATATCGTAATGCAGAACAATGCTAAATTACACCTTTCAAGTCGCACCAGTTCAATAACTAGCAAATTTGCAAACATCTTACTATTATACTATTCAAATCAATTTGCCGTCATCATTATTTCTATAATGTTAGCACTAGAAAGCAACAAATTATTGGATCCAAAGAGAAGTTAAAAACGACATTATCTTAAAAGTCCACCCAATCCTTACTGGTGAATATTAAGCCTCATGATTCAACCTTGATTTCTAGCCCAAGTCTATACATGCCCACACGAAGCTAAGCTTGTTAAGCTGTTTAAGTAAGCTTAATTTTCGTTCAACCTGAATTTATTTATATTATGAGAACGGACTGGAAAAACCAGCACTGAGAAGATCCTAAATTGAACCCCGTACTCTTAATGTAACAGGGACAAAAATAAATGGAAATTTTATTTTTGCACAAACATAAGTATTATATGTATAAGGATTAGGATCTGAGTGAAGACTATCCATAGATTTTTTTTCTTCTTAATACCGATTATTTAAATTTGATCAAGTTATAATTTCTCTTTTTAGGTGAAAAGCAATAAGAAATGAATTAAGAAATAAAAACAACCAAATACCTTCCATATAGTCGCTCGAATTTCATCACCATCCGGAATCCCCTGGCACACTAATCTCTGCAACTCCCCAACATTTATAACCTTCTTCGAAACCTAACAATCCAGAAATGGACAAATCATCAAATTCTCAACTTAAACAATCACACAAGCCCTAGATCCTAACCCTAATTCTTCACCTCACCTCCGCTATGAGCAAAGCCTGGCGCGAAGCCTCGTCCGGCGAGAGATTAGGGGGTTTCAGGTCATCGGGATCCCGATCATCGGTAACCGGCGGAGACGGCTGCGGAGGAGGAGAAGGTTCTGCGAACCGGACGGCGGGAGGCGGCAGCGACTCGGGGGAGGGGTTCGTAGCGTATCGGGAGATGCGATCGTCGTTGGAGGGGTTGGAGGAGGACCAAAGTGAACTGTTGAGCCAATCAGGGACGCTTTTCTTTCTCATATCGGCGAGGGTTTCGGCTAATCGTGTCGGAACGTTTCGGGCATTGGGGCGAGGAGAGAGAAGGGATCTTTCTAGAGAGAGGGAGGGAGAGTTTGGCGTGTAGAGATCTGGGAAGTGGAAGTAGATTCAGTTTTTGAAGTGGCCATTTAGCTGTTTGCTGTTCCTTCCCCCTATACATGATCACAATTTCATTTTTGGGTTATTTGCCATAATACCCCCACAAATGTTCTGTAATTGCAAACTTGCGCCACATCCAAATCTTCCGTAACTGCAAACTTGCCCCCAAAATCTGCGTAATCGCAAATTTACTCTCCAAATCTTCAATTTCAGGCTAGTACACCCTCCCACCGTCAAATCAAGGAATCAATATCTATCTATACTTAATCTATAAAAGACTTGGTGAGGGTAATGAAAGTTAGATGAACGGAGAACATCCCCCTCATTCCTATTGTAATTTGGAGGGTAAAATGGTAATTTCACAAATAGATTTTTTTCACTCCTTTCTTTTTCATTTCTTATCTATAGGACAGTTGATAATCACATTTATATTATATTTTTATACCCTTATTATCTATCTTCTTTAAATAAATATATCACTAATACCTTGTTTTTATCGTAATTTACAAGTTAATGAAGATTAATGAATGAAAGCCTAAAAGACTCAAATTTTCTAATTTTCTAGCATTTATTGAAGTCCAAATATGAAGACAAAAGAAGACCCAAGCAAACTCAAGGATCCACGAAGAAATCGGGTCAATAAATCAATAAAAAAATAAATCTGCGCAAACTAATTGATTGACCAATCGATTGGCCAACTGATTGGCAAACCGATTGGTTCGTAACAGAAACTATTTTATGGCTACGGTTTAATCCTTTATCTCCAAGCAAAATCCAGAGGTTCTCATTGATTGCTGTAGGCTATAAATAGGGGAGAGAGGGTGAGGGGTTTAAGTGTGAAATTTTTTATAAAAACTCCATTTAGAGTAGATGGTTACTTTTAATTGAGAAGACCTTCCAAAATTATAATTTTTTATTATAATTAATAAAATAATTTTTCACCTCTTCATATTTTTCTTTTCTTCTCTTCGTTTGATGATGAAGATAAAGATGAGATGAAGATGAAGATCAAGATGAAGATTTACCTTCATCAAGAGGCTAGAACCCTCTTACAATGTAAATTTTCTCTTTTATTTTTTATTTTTCTTGTAATATTTTATTCTCTTGCTTCAGATATTCAAGGGGCTAGAATCCTCTTAAATTAGATTTACTTTCATGCCTTGTAGAGTAGATTTACTTTTATGTTTTTATTTACTTACAATTATTTTATAGTACATATTTATTTTCTTGCATAGTTTAGATTTTATTTTCTTACACTATTTGCCAAGAGGCTAGAACCCTCTTGGAAATTAGTTTTTATTTTTGTTTATTTTTTTTTCTTTCATTCACTCACTTAGAGGCTAGAACTCTGTTTGGAGTTAGTTTTTATTTCCATTCTCTCCCTTTTGTTTCTTTATTTTTATTTTCTAAGATATGGAACTAATTCTTGTAGAAATTTTAGAAGTGCATAAAACTAGTCTAATTTCTTCTATGAATTATGAATTACTATCTTGCGCTTAAAATGATTATGTTTAGAATAATCAACTAGACAACTAATTGGTAGGAGGAATTCTAGAATTATTATCTAGTTGTTGTTCTTTTCATAAATGTTAATTTTGCTTAGATGATAATTTGATAGATTATGCTTTTCTTAAGTGGTTTGATAGTCTATGCTTAATAAATCTAAAGTAAAATGTGATAAAAAAAGGATAATCCATAATTTATAATTAAAATTGGCTAGTGGATTTAATTATAGATTCTTCATATTTCTAATTGAATCCTTCATCTTTTACTTTCTTAATTTCCTCTTTATTCTTGATTTTTCTTTATTTGATTCTTGATTTTATTTTTCTTCCATTTCTTCATCATTCTTTCTCCACTCTCAATCTAATTTTGTTTTTATTTACATATAGTCATAATCACTCTCCCCACATCTCTCCACAATCACACTTTTATCACTCTAATTGTCAAAAACGCAACTTAAGAACCAATTTTGATTAATTCTTACAACATCTTCCTCGTGAGATTCGATATTTTTTATATTATACATTGATTGTGCACTTGTAATCTCGACATATTCACAAACAACCACACCAAGTTTTTGCACCGTTGCCGAGGAGGGTGCTTATAATTAGGATTTTTATATTTTGGTTCTTTAATTTGTGTATTTTCTTGTGAAGGAACCATTTTGAAGATTGAAGATTGAAGATTGGAGATTTGTTTGTGGTAACTCTTCTTTCTAGTATTTTTAATTTCACTCTATAGTTAGTTCCTCACAAGTAGAGACAATTAGGATCTAAAAAATTTTACTTTTATCGACCATAATAAATTTCACCCTCCACTTAGACATTTACTAACAAGATAATAATATCAAGTACGAGTTCTCTTTCTCACATTTGTTTAATTGTTAACCCTAATTAAAAAATAAAAAGATTTTTTACATCCTTTTGCAGTTGATTTTAATTCCTAGGGTTGCATTGCATATAGTCAATAGGAATTCACCCAAGTGATTTGAGCATCTTGATTTGGCACACACCTGAAAATATTCTTAAGGGCAAAAACCCCTAATCAAAATAAGGTGAGTGATTTTATCAACATTTTCTTAGCCCACAAATCACTAGTTCCTCACTACACAAACCCAAACCTTTTAAAACTCATTAGACGTTGGCCCCTAAGGACTCCAGTTCATTAAGGAATAAAAAATCTCAAGTGAACCGGTTTAAGTTTATTTGAATCCATTAGTGTCTAAGACAAGGTTTAGGGGTTGCGTAAAGTGCTCCGCAAGGAATGAAGTAGTTAATCGATCTTTGATCTCCCTCTAATTCTATCCTTACCTAGCTAGCTGACCAAGTAAACTTCAATCTTTTTACTAAAAGAGTTTTTGGTTAGAAGCTGGTCTAGTTAAGTCTAGGCTTAACCCTAGAATTTAAAGTGATTGACATGAAATGATTGCTTTTGATTTGTTCTATTAGTTTTTCCTTCTCCTTCTTCTCATTATCTTTCAGATCTTTTTGTTTTTTCCCTAAAAAACCAACTTTTGTTTTTCTTAGTTTTTTAAAAAAATTATAAAAGAATTTATTTCGGTGCATGCAAATTTGGATTAGGGATGTCATCAATAGTTTAATTCGTGTTGAACTATCCTTTGAAATAGCTAATCTACTCGTTCTTCAAGATATGTGTTACCTAACTAGGAATGCAATCTCATCTTGCATTAAGCTTCCCAATGTAAATGGAACTAATTTTGAGCTTAGACCGCATTACATAAACATGCTTCCAAAATAATTAGAAAATGAAACTAAAGACGCTTGTATCTTTATCTCCGAGTTTGAGGAAGTTTGTCTTACGATTAAGATTAGTGAACTATCTGAGGATGCGATTAAGCTTGGATTCATTCCATTTGCCCTTATGGACAAAATTAAGAAATGTACAAATTCTATCTCAAGTTAGGATGAATTTGTCACCGTTTTTTTAAAGAAATTTTTTCTTATCCACAAAATGGTTAAGCTTAGAAACATCATTCAAAACTTTAAGATAGTCCTAGGAGAGTCATTCTGGAAGTATTTTGACAAATTTAAGGATATTCTTATCCAATATAACTGTCTTAAGAAATAGTGATTATGCCAATCATCTATGAAGGATTGGATTATTTTTCAAAAACTTCCTTAGAATCAATGTGTCAAGGGGATTTCATAAAGAAAAATGCAGATGAAGCTTGAAAATTTTTAGAGAGTTTATCCGAGAAAATCATGCAGTGGGAACACTGTGATGACAGAGTTTCATCAGTTCTCCAACCTAAATCCAGTAGTTTGTCCTTAGAGACAACCATAGCCTCTGAAGCAAAAATGGCTACAATCATGCGTAGATTAGAAGCTTTAGAATTCAAAGAACGAGCTCCAGCTCAAATCAATCAAGTTTCTACCCAGGTTGTCACAAGTGTCTTTCTCCATCTCATATTTCAAAGGAATGTCCTTTCTTAAGAAACAATCAACCACTAGATTAAATAAACGTTGTACTCCAGTGTCCTGTGAATGATCCATTTTCTCTAACTTACAATCCAGATTGGAGAAGTCACCCGAATTTTACATGGAATCAGGGAAACTACTCCGAAATCGAAACTTCACTCCCTCTTCAAACCAACAATTTTCTATGGGAAACACAGTTCCTTTCAGTTCTCAAAATTATTTTTAATAATCAAATCTGTTATGTCTAAATTAGTCTCCTCACCATCAATCTTTACGTCATATTCCTCTAAGTTTTGATCATGATAAACATCTTAATGTTCTAAAAAAAGGTTTGGAGACCATGATTAAAGCTTCTACATAGACTACCAACTTGTTGACTCAAACTTTCAACACTTTGAATTCCTTCATGTAATCAATCGGACAAATTCTCAATTCCAACACCCAAGTCATAGCTAGGTTAGAAACCCAACTTGGTCAACTAGCTAGTACTGTGAGTGAGAGAGAAAAAGGAACATTTCTGATTCAACCCGTGGCCAACCCCAAGTGAATATAATCCATTCACTACAGTCAGGGAAACAGGTCGATAATCAAGTTAGAATGCCTCCAAATAAAACTCTTGAATCTGAATAAATTCTCTCTCCTTCTAATAACTCTATTCAACAATCAATTAGAGTTATTTTTCTCTCACTTCGAGACTAGGACCCACTTTGGAGTTAGTTTTTATTTTCGTTCTTTCACTTAGAGGCTAGAACCCTCTTTGGAGTTAGTTTTTATTTTCATTCTCTCCCTTTTGTTTATTTGTTTTTATTTTCTAAGATGTGGAACTAATTTTTGTAGGAATTTTAGAATTGCATGAAACTAGTCTAATTTCTTTTTATAAATTGTGAATTACTCTCTTACGCTTAAAATGATCATGTTTAGGATAATCAATTAGAAAACTAATTGGTAAGAGGAATTTTAGAATTATTATCTAGTTGTTATTCTTTTCATGAATGTTAATTTTGCTTAGATGATAATTTGATAGGTTATGCTTTCCTTAAGTGGTTTGATAGTCTAT